TCACCACAAATAACCTTTTGTGAAACAGAAAGGTTCTTCAGATGTTAAAGGTTCTTTATGAAACCATTTAGACAAAAAGGTTCTTCTATGGCATCGTGAAGCACCTTTATTTTTAAGAGTGTACAAGTGAACATTCAATACAGCACACTTCTTTTTCACAAGGGACAACACACACAGAACTGTCCATAAAGCAGAGAAGACCCTCGCTATGTACACCATCACAACCATCCCAGGCCTCGAGTGCTCAACATTTACGCAGAACGGTACTACACGAGAACCCGTAATGTTTATCATTAACAGTGACATTGCCGGTTAAATCATTCATCTAAATCCGTCGCTAATCTGAGCAATTTTCCTTCTCCTTTAGTTCACCTGGACACTTCAAATGAACTATACAAAAGGAAATTTGCAGAGTAAGACATACCTTACCCTCACATAATCTGCGATTCCAGCATGACACTGGATTTATCCACATCATTAATTAGTTCATACACACAGATCTGCAGTTTAATCACCACTGCCTTTGCCCTCGCAGCTTGATCCTATACCTGCGTGAGCAAATATTGACCAACTTCTCAGAATGATAGTGATCAAACATCAAGTTCTCCCTAATTTGTCGCAACTGGTCCGTGAGCAAACACTCAGGAATCGCATACACTGGATGAAGTCATGGAGACCTGATTGCAAAAATAATGCTCCCATAATGCTGTGAAGATAATGTAGACTCTACTGAACTCTTGTCGTATCTCATTTACTTAAGGATAAGATTTCTTTTGCATGGATGAAATGAACGTAGGCTGTGGACTGGAGGCCCTGCTTTAACTGACAGCTGTTAATCTGTATTACGTTGCTAGGCAAGGCCGTGTGGCAGCAGGCAGGTAGGCAGTAAGCAGGTAAACAGTCTCATACTCTTCCCCCTTTATCGCTCTTGGGCCCCTTAACTACCCGGACACGGCCATCTCCACCCCTTTACTCGCTTCTACCGGCCTGCTGACAGCCAGTGTTGTGCATTACAATAGATAACTGCGTGGCTCGTGTTGTGCACTAAATAATAAATAAACCCCTATTGCACGCACAAAGGACCAGAGGGCAGATTCGGTGGAAGCAAAAAGCGTGCCTGTATTTACGCCACACTAAGTTATGAATACATCACTAATAATTGTGCTTGGCCTGTTCTGGTCTTATTGTCTCCAAATGAGGTGAGAATTATTGCGGGGATAGCAACAGTGCACTTACACCACCACGACAATAGGCATTAGGAATTGAGCTGTTCACACCAACAAGCAGACAATCAACTCCTTACGCATCTCCAAACATTAGACTATTCATACCCCTTGATAATCCACTACGGCCATTTATGCTGCAACCAAAATGCACATACAAATGTGTGGACTGGAAAATGAACAAAAGCCTGACCGTGAATAATCCACTAAGCCTTGAATGTTTGTTTGTGTATTTTTAAAGCATCATGTGACAAAAAAAGCTAAATGTAGGAAGTGTCTGCCATAAGACTACGAGTCATATGTTTGTCTTGTCATGTCTTATCTTAATCTCGAAATGTATTACATATTTGTATTAATTAAAAACATTTAAAAAATTTAAAATGTGTGTGTGTGTGTATATATATATATATTTATATATTATATTTTAAGATATATTTTAAATTTTGTGTGTTGACTGAAATAGAATTGTGAAAACTGTAATAAGACATCAGATATTTTATAATCATGATAGAGGACAAATTGTGCTTATGTTAAAATGTTCAACATTTCATTTAGCACAAAAAAAATAATAGCATTTTAATCCATAAAATATTTTATGAAATCCCATGTTTTTATATAAAAATGCTCATTGAATTATTAAAATTATATTTGACAAGGTTTTTAAAATATCAATATATATATATATACACCTTTGTTTGCTAACTGATGTTACAGTGGGAATATATTCCACTGACATTTTTTTTATATCAATATATAAACACTAATATATTTTTATATGTTTTATATTATCATATATAATAATATGTTTGCTAACTGATGTTAAAGTGGGAATATATTCCACTGAAATTTTCAATATGGAAGTGAAAATAGGAAGTAAGCGCCAAGCTATTTCAGAATTAAAACAAAACCACAGTTCTATTCTTTCAGGTTCTGTGCCACCTTGCTACTTGAAATAATGTGGAGAGAAGGTTGTTTTTGCTGAAATTCAAGTCGTCAATAGGAAGTAACAAGATTTACAAAAAAATATTTAAATGACATGTTTTCCAGAGTATCTCTCCATCTTTTTCTTTAGATATGTACACAACATTTTTCAATGGCATTTCAGGTTAAATAATAAACATTTTACTCTAGAAATGCATTTAATTAGATGACATCCCAAAATGTTGACTTTCTCTCATTGGCTTAACCTCACATTTTTGGCCAAAAATAAAATAAAAATTCTATTTAAAGTTTTAGTGTGTAACATCACTGCTTCCATTCATTCAAAAATTTATGAAAAGCATCTTACCAGGAATGATTAGAAATAAGGTGAACATGAGCAGAAACATAGTGACTCCAACACATTCCATTTCTGCTATATAATCTCTAGAAGCTGTGCGACAAGAAAAGGGAACTGGTGACAGTATTTGCCTGGGAAATGAGAGAAGCTAGTTGAGGCCCCTCCCACGTGCCATTTGGACACATACACCTGGCTGAGCTTCCAAAACACTGCTGTCACCCTGAGGGCCAGAGACAGTCTCACCGATACACATTCACTGCAGATATACACTGCTTAAGCACAGTGTCAGATCACAAGAGGAAAGTTCTCTTGAACAGTTGCGGTGTACACACACAGCTACAAGTGTGAAACCAGCATAGACTGACATTCAAGTCGCAGACAGACAAAGGGTCATACAATTGCATGGAATATATATGATATATATATATATATATATATATATATATATATATGATACGATATACTGCCTTTTAAAATTTTGGGGTCTCTATGATTTTTAAATGTTTTTTAAAAAAGGACTCCTACACCGTGCCCTAACTACACGTGCTGCAACGCCGCGACACGCAATAAAAGGTATCTTTTCCATGTTAATCAGAGCTTTTGTCCTAACCAGCTGCAACGACGACGACACGCAAAGTTTCTAATTTTTAAACGGTTTCTGTGACGTTGCGGCTGGAACAACATAAAAACTATGACAATGATAATCTCAGGTACTGATTATGTGCTTTATTCAACGTTAAATGTGTCTAATGTGAGTTTGGATATCATATTGTGTGACATTTTTAGCCATACTGAAAGCAACAACAGATAGTTTTTCTCAGATCTTGAAAATAAATGAAAGCAAACACGTTAAAACTGCGAACTCAATGTGAACCAACAAGTGTTTTCCATGACAAAGACGGCATCAGTCACACAGTATGTACTTTAATAATGTTAAAAAGGTTTAATATTTATGAATTAGATTATAAACTTGTCCATTTCATTGGGAGTGCAGTGTGTTCTGAATGGCTGTGATATTTGTTTGTTCAAAATTACAATAAAAACAGTATTATTGGGAAATATTATTGCAACTAAAAATAACTGTTTCTATTTTAAAATATAATGTATTCCTGTGATGGTAAAAATGAATTTTCAGCAGCCACTACACCAGTCTCCAGTGTCACATGATCTTTCAGAAATCATTCTAATATGCTGATTTGCTGCTAAAAAAACAATTATTATTATTATTATCAATGTTGATAACAGTTGTGCTGCTTAATATTTTCGTGGAAACCATGCTAATTTTTTTGATGAATAGAAAGTTTAAAAGAACAGCATTTGTTAGAAACAGAAATCTTTTGTAACATTATAAAAGTATTTACTGTCACTTATTAAGAGTCCACTTCTGTCACGATTCCTTGATTAAATTCGCGTACTTGATTATAAAAAAAATCCTCGATTGCATTTTGCCTGTGTGGATTAACCAGCAAAATACTGGATGCTGCGCATTCCACGGATGAGAATCCATGAAAAGCATTATTAGGCCGTTTTATAAGGCTGCACGAAATATTAAAACCTTTTAAAAAATCATAAAGCATAGTGCTATTTTGAATTCACAAAGACTGCGATTAAATATATATATAGATATATATTTCTATGCACAGCGGGTTTAATATGCGCTTTATTTGCATGTGTGTAGGTTATGTGCTCCGTTCACAGTAAATGCTGCTCCACACAAAGTTATCATTTACATGCACGGACCGTCTCAAACTCCATCTTTGCATATGCTGCGAGTCTGAGTTGCTGTTGTTGTTGTGTCATTTGGGAATAATGTGCATTCTATCAGATTTATAAGGTAAATCATTTATAAATCTACGCCAACACAGAAGAGTACATCATTATCTTTCTAAATAGACTAAATGTTCATCGCAACTTTAAAATAAAAGTTTAAACCGTTGCTCTGAGTTTGCATGTTTTGATGTCCTCATGTTCTTGTTCATGAAATGACAGTGGCTGTAGCATTTCTATCATAAAGAAGTGGCCAACTATTAAAGATTAAGTGGACATTTGACTTAAATGTTGTTTAGTCAATATTAAACAAGGATTACATTACACGGCGCTGTAAAGTGTAGTAAACAACCGTCAGGCTGCTGACGCCCTCTGCATGCATTTTATAATGTTATATTACATTATGTATTTTAACGGTTTTGTTCAATAAAACCACGATTACTTGCTTTCAATATTTTATTTGAATTTATTATTATTGCCTCATTGCCATTATATATGTATTTCAAGTCATTTTAAAGTTTAGTTTGCTTATGTCTATTTTTTTTTTATTCCGATTTACTCAATTAATCATCAGAATAATCGACCGATTACCAAAATAATCATTAGTGACAGCCCTAAATAAAAGTATTGGGTTGTTCAAAAAATAAAATAAAATCTTACTGACCCCAAACTTTTGAATGGCAGTGTATATTCATACATATGAATTTAAAAAAAAAAACTGTCACTCTCATATGCTTGAGGCTTGACAAATAAGGGGTAGATATGGTACTTGAACTGTAGTTGTACTGAAGTGAAAAACAACTTCAAAAACTCCACTACTGTGTGAAATGACATGAGGGTGAATGTTCTTTTGTGGTGTGATCTATTTCTTTAATGTCATAAAATGAGTCTTGAGTACCTTGTCTTTCTCTCCATCCAGTTTCTTCTTTTTCTTGGATGACTCCTAGAGATAAGGAACATCAAACTTAGTCTCACAAGTCTTGACATATCTCTTCATTATCACCAGCAATTTAGCGTTTATGTTCATTTTATTCAGCACTGGAAATTAATATTCATGGAGGCAAAACAACTTGGCAAAAGATGGCAATTTCTAGAAGAGCTGCAAATCTAGAATAATGTATAATATGTTGTGGCTAGTTTCAGTTAAGCCAGCTACTCCCTTGACTGGCAGGAACAATCCTTTTAAACCATGTAATGTTTTTCCTTGCAGATATAACCAAACAATACCCTGCTATCAGTCTCTGACTCGGTGTCAGAATCATCAGATGCTTTCCGGGCAGAGGATCTTTTTCTTTTTTTCTTCTTTTTCTTTTCATCCTGAAAAGGCAGCAGAACAGACAAACAGAGAATATTTAGTGATAAGGTATGGCCATTTTAATGCATGCAAATAATGTACATATAATTCTAATCATCAGCAAGACTTACATCATCTTCAGAGTCTGAGGAGGAACTGGAGGAGGAATCAGAATTCGATAAGGAGGAGGAGGAAGATGAGGAATGCTTGACCAAACACAACAAAAGCAGAATTTGTTAGATTTTAAGCCACTTAAAACTGATCAGCCGACCCATGGAGATAACAGGCCAGATGGATACCAAATACTCTACAAATGCAAATCCCTCTTCTAGTTTGGGACATTAATTGAAACCAATATTCCACTTTTCCATTATTGATTAATTACTGGTTTACAGTTGCTCAAGATATGAAAAAGGAGAGCTCTCCTCACCCTACTGGACTTTTTCTTCTCCTTCTTTTTCTGGAAAAAGCAAAGATAAATATCAGGAAATCATAGACCAATTTTAAATATAACAACAAACCATAATAACAATAAATACATATTGTGATTGCCAATTTATCATAGCTGATGTTGGATTTTTTTATTACTGGTATTTGAGTGCAAAATGTTCACTGTAAAAAATGATTGTGATTTTAACAGTAAAAGACTGTAAAAATGCTACAGTAAAAACCTGTTAACAGTAAGCTTCCATACTATATACGGTGAATAAACGTAATAACATTTAATGTAATTTTACAGTAAAATGCCGTTAAAAATACAGTTTTTGGAAGTGAAAAAGAAAAAGTCATTGTATAATTTACAGTGAAAAACCGTAAATTGACACTCCCAGAATTCCCTGCATGACGCTTCATATTTGATGTTTTATTTGTTGAAATAACATGTTTCTTCTTTGTTTTTAATGTGTACATTAGGGTTTAATCTTACATCTAATGTTGTTAAATTAATGTTTATTGCATTATTTCAGTATCATGTGTGTCACCATGATGGGGTTTAGTGTTTGTGTGAATGACACGGTGCATCTTCTATACATAAATATTGCCCTCCTCAGCTCGTAGAAAAGCTGTTTGTGATGAGCTTTGGTTCATCATGTGACTTTCTCATCACCACCTGTTTTTGGTGGTTATCAGTGCATTACAATAGTTCAAAACAGATATTAACACTTCAATATGTTGGTTTATTAACATTATATCAGTTAATGAAATACCATATTTTTTACGGTGAAGTTCTGGCAACCACAGCTGCCGGTATTTTACCGTAAATGTCACAGATTTTTTTTTTTACAGTGTTGGTACACTACACTCTTCAGCTGGAATATTTTCATGCCATCTTCTGCCTTTATAAATCCCTATTTATTCCTCACTTCTGATTTAGTACTTGGGATGAAATCCATAAAATGTAGGCTGAAATCTGACTGTATTTGCGTTTTATATATGAGATCTCAGATTACTACATCAACCCGTACCTCTTTCTTTTCCTTCTCCTTGTCTTTTTCTTTCTTTTCACCTCCACCAAGTACCTTCTCCCTGTTTTTCTCCAGTTCCTTCTTCCATCGCTGAGAAAAATGAGTGAAAGCACATATGATCCACAACGCAGATCTGAATCTATTGCAAATCCACTGAATCTAGTTAAAAAAAAAAACAACCTTGTTCATTCTGTCCTCAAAATCAGCCAGAGCTTTGGAGCCCTTCTTCTTCTTTTCCAGTTGTTCTTTTACCTCCTCCCTGATATACAGAACAGAGATACCTTAAAATCACATATAAGCACTATCGATTCTTCAGTTTTAATCATAATCATGTCTCCATACCATGATGGCCGTGGTCTGCTGAGATAATCCTGAATGGTGGTGCCATGGTTGGGAGCAGGTCCTCTGGCTCTGGCAGCAGCTATTGGGTTCAAGTATGCCTGAAACACAATCAGATATTAACATTCATAATACAGCCAGCACATCATCAACAATCACAAAACATGCTTAAAAACACATCCTTCAGCATCCACGTTTCACTTGGAGACTGCTAAAATAACTGTATACTACAAATTATCATCATTTCACTTAGGCTGAAAATTAGTTTTAAATTACTTATGCATTACATTTTTTATATGCTCACCAAAAATACAGCAGCAAGCATTCTATATAACAGAACATTTAAGATGAATGTGTGCTAGCCGAGTTAGCATGTCTGAGCCAGATAGCCACATGCATTAGCCATACCGGCAATCTAGCATCCTATCTAAGCGATGCAAACATTTTACAAGTTGTGCCAGACTGTAAACATAAAACAATGTAAATCCAATATCTAATAACCGTGTTCATTCATTCTGTAAGTGGACGTGGCTAATCTGTTTGGCTCAGTGTTTTGACGCGTTAGCACTGCGGCTTAAAGGCCGATACGATACGAGTTGGTAAACTACCTTTACTTACCACTCTATTATCTCGCTTGCCCATTCCTGCAGACTTTGCCTAAAAACCTGTAGGCCAAAATCTATGAAATCAGCCTTCTGTTTACATGGCTCTGGTGCTTGCGGTGGCTCCCAGTGTACAGCGAGAATGTCTGAATAATTGCCACCTAGCGGTTCCTCAGCAGCAAGGCGCGCTCAACATGAACACTAGGGGGCGCTTCCTCCTCGTCTTATTCTTCTTCTTTGGTGTTTTATTGGCGGTTGGCAAACCAGCTTATAGGTGCATTACCGCCACCGACTGGACTGGAGTGTGGATCAAGATTTATGCAATATATATGATGGCGAAAGAGGGGAACATAAAAAAAACAACATGCCTGTCAATATATGTATATATATATATACATACATATACACACACATATACATATACACACATACATACATACACACATAAATTATCTATATTCTCTTACTTAATTCACATTCTTTTATAGACCTAATGATATCCTCATATACCTTGCTAGCTGATTTCCCCAATAAACCTGACAAAGAAAAGTCATGGTGTTTTACTTTCTTCATTGACTGAATAAGGCGACGTCTCTCATTGTTGTATTTTACACATTGAAGTAGTACATGTTCAACTGTTTCTTGTTGATTACAGTGTATACATTCCCCAGTTGGGTGCTTACCAATTCTATATAACGTTCTATTAAGTCCAGTATGCCCAATTCTAAGGCGTGTAATGATATTTCCTTCCCTTCCCTTCGATTCCTACTCTCCTTTCGCCCAGCATCAACTGTTTTTTGTATATTATACAAATGTCTACCCGTTCCATGGTCATCCCAATATATCTGCCAAACTGATTGTGTATATGTTCTAATGTATACTTTAGCTTCTGCTTTACTTAATGGAATATGTAGATCTACTTGCTTTATTCTTAGAGTTTGCTTAGCCAGAATATCCACCTTCTCATGAGCAGGAATCCAAATGAATTGTGTAGACATACCCTTAACTTTCATTTCATACATCTTGCAGAATATTTCGTTAATAATATTCATCCTAACTGATGACCTGCCAGATTTGATACTTTCAAGTGCAGAAAAACTATCAGATGCAATGACAGTGTTATTTATTTCCTTCTCTTCTATCCACTGTAGGGCCAATAGCTATGTAGCATATACTGACCAATGGTTGGTTACTCTTTTCTTAATATAAAATTCAAACATTGAAATATATACTGCTGCACCTGCATATCCTGTATCAGGATCCTTGGATCCATCTGTAAATAAAACCATTGACTGTGGGAAATGTTTTTCAAAATACTTCTGGACTATATACTATATCGGAAGTTGATTATAATTGTTTTTCAGTTCCTGCTGTATACTAAGGTCAACAGTTGGCAAGGGAAATAACCAGGGAGGAATAGAGGAAATTGATACTGTATTACTGTACTGTAATTGATGTAATCCTATATTTCTTGCTTTAGCATCACCTATCCACCCAAAACATTTTGTTTCATTATGTTCCCAGCATTCTTTTAATACACTTTTGACAGGATGTTTTTCATTTTGTCCGTGGAGATTGACCCAGTATGCCATCATTAATTTTAATCTTCTAATTCTTAATGTCATTTCTCCCATTTCCACCTGCACTGATGATACCGTAGATGATTTGAATGACCCACTACAGATTCTCAGGGCCTGAGCTTGCAATACATCTAATTCCTTGAGGTTTGATTCTGCTGCTGACATGTAAGCTATACATCCATACAGGGGCGTAGATGAGGCGGGGGACGCGGGGGACATGTCCCCCCCACTTTTTATAAAAAGTGGGGGGGACATGTCCCCCCCACTTTTTATAAAAAGTGGGGGGGACATGTCCCCCCCACTTTTGACATGATGGCTACGCCCCTGCATCCATAGTCAAGAACAGATCTCATGAGTGCCCAATATATGTTTTGTAGAAATGCTCTACTTGCTCCCCATTCCTGTCCTGATAAACACAGAAGTATGTTGATGACCTTTTTACATTTGTCCTTAATTTTATTCAGATGAACTTTCCATGTTAACAGCTTTTACTTGCTCCAGTTGTTGCCCATATAGATTCAAAGAAAGGGGTGAGATTTTGTGCCGCCTTGAAAAACAAATAACCTGTGTTTTTCCTACAGATAATTTAAATCCCCATTTATTGGTCCATTTTTCCACTTCATCAATTGCAGCTTGCATTTTCTTATTGACATACGATATATTGCGGCCTCTAATCTACAAAGCCCCATCATCTGCATACAAAGATCTTCCTATGTTTTGTTCAACCTGAGAGAAAATATCATTAATCATTATGTTGAATAATAACGGTCTACATAATAATAATAATAATAATGGGGAGCAAGTGGAGCATCTCTACAAAACATATATTGGGCACTCATGAGATCTGTTCTTGACGATGGATGTATAGCTTACATGTCAGCAGCAGAATCAAACCTCAAGGAATTAGATGTATTGCAAGTTCAGGCCCTGAAAATCTGTAGTGGGGCATTCAAATCATCTATGGTATCATCAATGCAGGTGGAAATGGGAGAAATGCCATTAAGAATTAGAAGATTAAAATTCATGATGGCATACTGGGTCAATCTCCAAGGACAAAATGAAAAACATCCTGTACCATTCTCCGCCGTGTATACTCTGGAATATTCATAACCTACCCTCACTTGTATTTTCCTCTTAAATAAAAAGTCCAAAACCCAATTATATGTTCTACCGTTAATTCCTAATGATTTACATTTTATCAATAATCCTTCTTTCCAGAGCATATCATATGCCTTCTCCACATCAAAGAAGACTGCTATTACTACTTCTTTGTTGGTCTGTGCTTTCCTTATGTCTGACTCTAGGCACAATACAGAATCCATTGTATTCCGACCCCTACGAAATCAACTCTGATATGGAGATAAAAGAGTTTTATTTTCCAGGAAGAATGTTATTCTTTCTGTGATCATTCGTTCCATGATTTTTCATAAATGTGAAGTCAAGGCAATTGGTCTGTAACTAGAAGGAACTGATGGGTCTTTCCCTGGTTTAAGAATGGGTACTATTATTGCTTGTTTCCATACTGAAGGAAGTGGTCCAGTATCCCAAATTTGGTTAAACAGATTTAATATTATTTCTAACGAGTTATCTATCATGTGTGCCAGTATTTTATAACATACCCCATCTTTCCCCGGAGTAGTCTGTCGAGCACTAATTATTGCTCTTTTTAACTCAAACGTGTTTAATGGTAGGTCTAATGGATTTTCTGACATCTCATTTTCCTTTTAAATATTAGGGTATTCCATTAATGTTTTATTCCTTCTCTGTCTGGCCTCTACTGAAAGATTATCAGAGCTATGAACTTTCAGAAATGTTTGAACAAAAAGTTCAGCCTTTTCTAGGTTTGCTAACAGCCATCTTATCTCCATTGTTCATCACTGGCAATTCATAATTTCTTTGATTCCCTGAACCACCTTGATTCTTTGTACTTCAGCCTGCCTCTTACTAACTTCACAGCCCCGATACGCTGAGCTATGTTCCCCTCCACAATTACAACATTTCAACTTTGCACCCTCATCACATTTGCCATACTCGTGTTCTTCACTACATTTACCACATCTTTGCTTTCCCTTGCACACCGCTGCCACATGTCCAAACCTCTGACATTTGAAACATCTAAGTGGAGGAGGTATGTATAGCCTCACATTGTAACACATGTATCCAATATATATCTTTCCAGGGAGAGCTTCCTCATCAAAAGTGATAACAACCGAGGTGCTTTCACTTACACTTCTGTTCCAATTTGTTTTTAGACTTTGACTTCACTTAAGTTTGCATTTGTTACATTTTCTTTCACATCTTCTACCAATATGTTTACCGGGATTCCTGTGACAACCCCTTTTACGAATTTCTTGCCATTAGCCATAGAGCATTCCACTCTATTTCCATTTATCTTGTTCATTCAGATTACTTTCCCTTGCTGTTTTGCATCCTTACAAATAATCAGCAATGATCCATTTCTTAGAATTCTAGCACTCTTTATTTCACCAATTTCCTTATTTGGCATTTTTGTCAACTATTGGATTCATCCCTTCAAGCGAGTCTCCTTCATGCATAAGTTTTGCAAACACTTTTGTTAATAAAAATAACAGTTGGTCCCTCGATATCTCTTTGCCACCGTGAAATCTTCTCAGTCCCTTAAAGTGAATTCCCACAGAGTTAATAGTTTTCCCTGTAATAGAGCCCTCGTATACTTTACCGGACAAAGATGACCGTGAGGCACCAGTGTCCAAAAGGAAAACATACGGTTTACTGTCAATTTTCAATTCAAGAAAAGGTAAGACAGACGATTTATTCGGGTATGTAACAGAAATCATGGAATCTTCATCAAGAAAGGGCTCTAAACTCTGTGGGCATCCCTAACGGGGAGTCCACTTTGTGGGATAATTCGGTCTTTCTGTTTGTTGCCTTTGTGGATAAGCATTAGTCTGTGGCCTGAAGCCAGCAGACCCACCTCTTTTCTGCTTTTTATCCCACTGCTTTTTCCTACAAGCGTTAGCGAAGTGTCCCGCAATGCCACAATAATAACATACTTTCGACCCTGCTGCCTGATTTGAACGTGCTTTGACAACAGTATTAAGCTGCATCATTGCTGTAAGTCTCCCTCGGGAGGCTTCAAAAGCCCCCGCGGTGGAAAGCTCACGCAGTCTCCGAGACAAAGCGTCAACAGAAATATCTGTTATATTCGAAGTTGTCAAACGAACCAATTGTGCGATTTCTGTTTGCATGTTATTCAAAAACGTATTGACAAACAAAGGAGAATGTTGATCTAATGGAATGGCAGATTCTTCAGTCCAAGCATGCTTAAATCGATTGAAAAATGCAACAGGATTTTCGCCCGCTTTCTGTTTCGTGTTTGCAGCATACGACAAATCTTGCTTAGTGTATAGGGAACGAGTGAGAGAAGGAGAGAAGAAAAGGAGGGGTGAGGCATATCTGGAACCATTTCTTAAAAAGACAGAGAGTGTTTTCTAACAACTTTATATTCATCTCTCTTCGTTTCTTCTACAGTTGATCCCCTGTCAGAGTCACTTCCATCCAATTTACTCTGTCGTTTCTTTTTCCGTTTATTATTCCTAACCGTATCCCATTTTTCATAACTCCCGCCACCTACTTCCATCT